CAATATGTCTGTTCTCTGTTTGATGAGCGTGGAGTTCTGTGTTAACTAACTGTTCTTTTTCATGGTAAACAGGCATCACACCATGCATGATTCAATCTGAAAGGGCACATTCAAATCTTGGGCTTGAATTGTGGGTTTGTCTATTTTTCTCTGTGGTTCCGTCATTCGTGGCTTTACATACTTGAATTTGGCCTCTTTATTTTTAGATTCAGGTGTGTTCACGTTGGTCATATCTTTCGTTCTATTTTTTCATTTAGTCACTAAATAGGATCGACAGCTCTAGCTTTCTTCTGATTCACGTCTGCCTCCTTTTATTTCCATCCTATTGGTGTCCTTTTGTTTGAAGAGTGTGTCTCTTGTAGACAACATATTGTTGACTCTTTTCTTTTAAATCCAACTCAAGGCTACCTTTTAATTGGTGAAATTAGCCCTTTTACATTTAGTGTAAAAGCATTTGTCCTAATTTTGTTGTAATTATTGTAATTATGAATTACTTTTATTAGGACTTGTATTTATCATTAAATCGGAACCTTATTTTGTCACCTTATTTCATATTTTCATTCCCTACACATCTTTGCATTTATTTTCATTTATTTCTCCTTCTGTTTCCACTGAGTAGATCTTTCTGCAGGTTTAAGAAATGGTGAATTTCTGTTTTGTTTCTTCCTGCAGCTGCCCTTGAGCCCCACACCTGCTTACTCGCCCAGCTTGCTTTCTGCACCTTATCTTCACCCACATCTCCCTTCTGACCAGACAAGCATCTCAGCATGTTCTTACTTCCCTCGGTCTTCACCCTCCCCCCTCCACTGTGTTGTTGTTATCTATAAGTTTTATCTAGATCGTTATGTAGATCGCACATACATTGTAGATTGTATGTTTATTTTCTTTAGTCATTATTTTTGTGGGGAAAAATAATAAACCCTATCGATTGCTTCTTATTTCTCTTTTAATGATCTTCCGCACTTGGGTCTCTTAGTTGAATACTGCCCACAAGAGTGATTTCAAAGTCGACTCTTGGTGACGTGTCTTAAGAGAACATCTTCATTATATTCGTACAGTTTGTGGTAATTTAGTTAGATATGGCACTCTAGGTACACAGCTCTTTTCTTTTAGTAGTTAAGCTGTTATTCCATCATCTTGCTGAACTCAAAGTTGTCTTTGGGAAGTCTGGTGTCATCTAAGTTTTAGGATTTTCTCTCCGCTTTTGAGGTTTGGACAGTCCCCAGAGTGAGTCCAGGTGTGCGCTTTCCCTTGTCTCTCCCGTCCAGTCCCGTGTAAGCTCCTTTATGTGAGCTCCCGCACAACTCTCCAACTCTGGGAAGTTTCTAATCATTCCCGTCTCTCTGTCACCCTTTATGGCTATATGTTCTTCTTCTATTACCTGTGACTCAGGTTTGCTTGTCCTCCTTATCTGGTCCTTCTAGGAGACTTCCTCTGTTGGTTACCCCCTGGCTGACGGTGGCCTCCCCACTGCTTACTCCATCTACTATTTTGTGAGGTCGGTGATTAGATTTTTCACCCCTAACATTTCCACGTGGATGTTTTGACAACTGACTTTCCTGCCCCTGTCCTTTAAGGACGTCGGTTAGTTGGCTTTGACTGGTGCTGTTCTGCTCTCGGTCCACAAAGTAGCCCACGTGGCTGCCCCACTCTTGGACAGGATGCCCTCCCAGGATGCTAGTTATTGGACCATGAGCCTTGAGGGTACTCAGGTCTGGTCCAGGGTTTGGGGGTGGGCCCAGCCTGCAGAGGAGAGAGGGCGAGCCCCTGGGCGACAGGCCCCACTCCTCAGAGCCTTCTGTCCCCCTTGCCAACACCCTCCTTTTGGCTGCTGTCCCTTGGCCAACTCCTTGTGTCGGGAGCTGAGCTTTAATGGGAGGGGTCAGGAGGAGGAGAAGGAGCACGGGGAGCAGGGGCCTTAGTATGGGGGGGTCAGGAGGAGGAGCACGGGGAGCAGGGACCTAAGTATGGGGGGTCAGGAGCTCCTCGTGCCCCTCGTCCCTGGATTCATACCCGGGTCAGGAGGAGGAGCACGGGGAGCAGGGACCTAAGTATGGGGGGGTCAGGAGGAGGAGCATGGGGAGCAGGGACCTAAGTATGGGGGGGTCAGGAGGAGGAGCACGGGGAGCAGGGACCTAAGTATGGGGGGGTCAGGAGGAGGAGCACGGAGAGAGGGGCCCTGGCATGGAGGGTGCTGGATGTAAAGGAGCCAGCATGAGCCAGCCATGAGTACAGCTGCTGGCACGTGGGTCACAAGGAGGTGAGGGGGACAGTGGCGGTGCCGTCCTGTCCTTGCAGGGCTCCGGTCATGGCTGACCACCCTGACTGAGGGGATGAGTCCCTGGAGATGGCTCATGGTGCTGTCTGCTCATCTCTCAGGAAGTTGCTTCAGACATGCGTGAGAAAGAGGCAGTTTGGGGGAGCCGAAGGTCAGGGGCGGGTGGGCAAGACAGTTGGCCCCGCCTGGCAACAGCACTTGAAGGGAATGTGGAGCCCCCCCAACCTAACTTACAGATGGGGAGACTGAGGCCAGAGGGGCAGTGACTTGTCTAAGGCCACGACACCTGCTGTACACCCAGCTGAGCCCCGAGCTACACTCCAGGACACTGGCCCAGCTGGACATGGCTTTGAGGTGGCATCCTGCACAAGGAGGGGTCCAGGATTAATGTGCCAACAAAAGAGAGAGGGAAGAACTTGCGGGGGTCCACAGAGAGCCCTTGGCCAGCTGGGCAGGGGTCCCAACCCAGAAACATCCCAGGGGCAGGTGTGGGGCAAGTGTGCGGCAGGTGTGGGTGGTTGAGGGGAGGGTGATGGGCAGGTGAGGGGCTGGTGGTGGCAGGTGGGGGAGGTGTGGAGCAGGTGAGGGGCAGGTGCGGGCAGTTGAGGGGTGGGTGGGGGAGGGTGGGGGCAGCCGGAAGGCATTTGGTGCGTGTGGGCCCTGGCTCCACGCAGCGGGTGCACCCTTTCCCCAGCAGGGCGTCTGAGAACGGAGAGTGGTCTGGGAAGGCCGGGGAAAGCT